TTCCCTTTCACTCTCTCTCGCTCTGTCCCTCTCCGGTCAAATTAAAATAAATATATATACTTAGAATTATTTAATTTTACTTGTTATTATTATCATTATTTTTAAAATTTGACCAGAGAGAGAGAGAGAAGGGAAAGTGAGAAAGCAAGTCACCAAATCCAGGACTCAAACCACAGTGGGCCATGTGGGAGTCCAGCATCCTTAACCTCCACGCCACCTGCTAGCCCCTAAAATAATTAAATGAATAAAGTTAAATAAAAATAATTCTTAAAAAAAAAAAACACCAAAAACTAAAAGGGAAAGATGTTCAAATCCACCCAACTTCTAAGACATACTACTGGTGACAAATACCCCTTCCCCCAAAACAACAATGTAGTGCTTTGTGTGCTAACAACATAGCTTAAAGAAAAAGGTAAAACAAAATCCTTCAGTTTTATAAAACTTGATAAAAATAATGTTTCAAACTATACAGTCACCAGACATACACAGTTATCAAAAATGCACATACTTCACTTGGCATCTCCAGCAATTTCAATTTTCTATGTCTGGTCTGTTTTGGCATTTCCATTTTCTGCAGGATTATTCCCATCCTTGCCAGCATCAGCTTTTCCCTTTTTCCTTTGGGTACTTCTCTCCCTTCTTTGCAGGGTTCTTTATAGGCTTGGGCTCTGGCTTTGGAAGAGCAGGTTTCACAGACGACCTTGCAGACCTTGCTGTCTGTCATTCTTCCTTCATCTTGGCTATATCACCTTAAGCATCCCCTTAAGCCTTTCTCTTGGGCATGGTGGAGACCACGGTGGGACATAGGCACTGGACGTAGGGGATACAGTAGTGCACAGTGTCCTGACCCGGGGAACAGTTGAACAGGTTTCCTGAGGGAAGGAGTGAGAGACAGGACAAACGCAGTGTTACAACTCTTCAGGGTCGTCCGGAGACAACGCAGTGTCACAACTCTTCAGGGTCTTCTGGAGACGATGCAGTGTCACAGCTCTTCAGGGTCTTCAGGGTCGTCTGGCGATTTTGGGCCAGGGATTCTGGTTATATACATGTTGGTGGGCAGTGATTGGTTGAATGAAGGATTGTAAGAGGTGGGTTATGATTGGTTGCTTTTGTGGACCAATCATGAGGTGCCGGATATGCAAATCTGAGGGATTCTAAGCTCACCGATTTGCTATGGGAAGTGGCCAATCAGAGTATGGTTTTGAAGGTGAGGTTTTGAAGGGGAGCCAATCATGGCCTTTGGCATTGTGTAATTGTTTGCTCTCTGAGAAACCAGCGATATTCACTGGTGCGCAATCTCCCATAGCACAGGCTTTGGTCGGTCCAGGGATCGCTCTTGCCTCTTCTTCTTCCCACCTGGCATGTTTTTCAAGTCACTAGTCCAGAACTAGAATTGTGTGGTCAGCCATGTAGGATTCAGCTGCCTTAACTACATGTTACCAGCTGGGCCCTGACCATCTGTTTTAATTCCCTGGTCAGCTTTCCCCTTTCTGTAATTTCCAGTTGATCTGTGGGTTGCTTTTGGATGACTCCCATTTTCCTCTGATTTGTGTATGTGAGCCCTTCTTTCCCATGGAAGCTCTCTAAGGGCTGCATCCAAACCTCAATAAACCAACATCTTTCACTCCATGTGATCTTAATACATGAGATCCAGCTGCCTTAAACATCAGACCACTGAGCTGGCCTTCAAACATCAACCTTTTGTGAGAAGTGTGTAGTGTGTTTTTGGGAAGCCACATAGTATAAGGAGAAAACATTGAAATACTGAGTTGAACTAGATCAGAAGCTCCCGGGGGTTGTGGGAGGGGCAGGAGGGAGAACTTTTTTCCAATAAATGTTTATGAAGCCCTTACCTTATTTCAGGTACTGCTCTGGTTGCTGGAGATGTAGCTATAAACAAGACAAAAATCTCTAATCTCATGAAGAATACTTGAAATGTGAGAGAAAATAATAAATATATATCCCTCTTGACACCTTTCATACTACCTTTTTTTTTTTTTAGAGGTTTTTGCTATAGGGCACATGTGCTCGCCAGACAGACAGAGAGAGACAGAGAGATAGAAAGCGAGACATCACCCCACAGGGGGGATGGCCACACCACAATCCTGTCTCCTCTCAGGATCTTGGGCACGCACGCACAAGTGCCCAGCGTGAGTTCCAAGCCACCAGGTCCAGGATGCGAACCGCGGTTGAGACTACGTGGGAGTCCAGTGACATAGCCATACACTAACCGCTGGTCCCTCATACTATCTTATATTGGGAGAGTGTACAAATGAAATGTTTCTTTTTCTAGGGATCTAGCATGAATGCAGTGGAAAGAGCATTGAGTTAGAGGATACACATAAAGTGCATATCACACTGTCTTGTCATTGTCTGTGCAAATATTTTTCTGTAGTGGGCCCCCTTATATTTAAGAAAATGGTCTTACTCTTTTATGCAATACCAGTATCTAGCCCAGTGCCTAACACATGGTAGGGGCTCAATTATTGTGTGCTGAATGACAGCATTGTTACTTAGCGACTCTGTAAAGTTGGGCAAGTCTCTTGGGTTCAGTTTTCAACCCACTAGATGGGTTATTACCTATTCCACAGGGTGTGGTGAAGACACAGCTCCATTTGCTGCTTCTAAATCATTTTCCTCCCTCCTCCCTCATTAAGTTTTAGTCCTGTAAGTCTTTGACATATTTTACCATCTGTTACTCTACTTTGTTGCTGTCATTTGACTACACTTTGCACTTTAGCCTTTAATCAATGGCATTTTAGGTCCTAACTCCTCCTCCTCCTCCTCCTCCTCCTCCTCCTTCTTCTTTTCTTCTTCTTCTCTTCTTCTTCTCTTCATCTTTTCTTCTTCTTCTTTTCCTCCTCCTCTTCTTCTTCTTTTCCTCCTCCGCCTCCTCCTCCTCCTCCTTTTTAAGCCAGAGAGGATGTGCCATGAGAGACAGACAGGCAGAGAAAGGAAATCTGGTCACACTGCGATTCTTTTCTCCTTCATTTCTCCATTCCATTGAGATTCTGGGCACATGTTCAGCATGTTTTTCAAGCTGCTGGGGTTGGGATTCGAATCATTGTTGGCCATGTGGGATGCAGCTCCTTCTGAACAATGCTTAACCACCTGCTCTAGGGCTGGTCCCATCTCTCTCTCTCTCTCTCCTCTCTCTCTCTCACTGCTATTCCTATCAGTCATCCTGGGTAACTCCTAAAATGTCCTTGGATAATACCATACAACATCTTTGTTTCTTTGTTCCTGGACCTTCTCATCTCCAAATTTGTTTCTGCCTTATCAAGAGTTTCCTTGTATCCTTTCCTTTCTGCAGGACATTACCAGTTTCTCTCTACCCTGGACATCAACAAAACTTTCTTTAGTATCTTCAGGCTAAACAAACAAACAGACAAACAAAAAGACAAAGAAAACCTTTCCCTTGACCTCACCTCCATGTCCAGCTAATGTCCACTTCTCAGTTCCTTTTGTAGCTTTTCCTTGATATCTTCCTGACTGACTCTTACCTTTCACATCTCAGTTTAACGTTCTTAGAGGCCTGCCCTGGCCACCCAATATAAAGTAGTCACCCATTGGCTTTCTGTGAAATCAACCTACTAAATTCTATCAGTATTGGATTTTTTTTTAAAGAGAGATTTTTGTAATATCACACGTGCGCTGTCTGGAGAGACAGCGAGGCAGAAAGTGAGAAATCACCCTGCAATCCCGTCTCCATTTTCCTCTCAGGATTTTGGGCATGCACACACGAGTCCAACATGAGTTTCAAGCCGCCAGGTCTGGGACTCGAACTGCGGTTGGCCATGTGGGAGTCCAGTGAATAATTGTTATTGCATCTGCTGGTCCCTTGGATGTTTTTCCGTTTACTTGTTTAGTGTTTACTTTTATTACAAAATTTAAGCTGTTAGGAAGCATGGTATCTCTCTGGCTCATTCACTACTGTATTACCAGGACTTCAAACAGCGCCGGATTTAGTAGGAGGTCCATAAAAAAATTGCCCTTGTAGGCTGTGATTTGCCCTTGCTTTCCTGCTCTCATCTTCACCTACTTTGTCCTAGGCTCACTACCCTGGCCCCACCGACCTTCTTGATGTTCCTTCAATATGCCAGACTCACTCCCAGTATTTGTTCTTTGCATTTGACATTTCTTCCCTTTGGGCTCTCTTTCCAGGCTTTCTTCTTCACTTTCTTCAGGTCTTTGCTCAAAAATTATCTTTTAATTCCAGACCTTCCCTGTCTGGGAATTTAAGCAGTCCCAACTCTGCAGCTGCTTTCTTGCTTAGTTTTTTTCCGCGGTATTTATCAATGTTTAATATGCTACATAATTTACTATTTATTTTATTGTCTCTTCTTGCCCCACCCACACATCATGCAGGCTCTGATGTATTCCCAAAGTCTAGTGAGTGCTTAGTACTAAACAACAAATGTTTATTACATGAATGGATTTTTTTTTCTTTTTTGGAGAGGTTTTTGTTATAGGGAGCGTGCTCTTGCCAGAGAGACAGAGAGACAGAAAGCGAGAAATCACCCCCTGGGGGGATGGCCAAGCCGCAACCCTTCTCCTCCATTCTCCTCTCCGGATCTTGGGCACGCACGCACACGCGCCCGGCTTGAGGTTAAGCCACCGGGTCCAGGACGCTGTCGACTACATGGGAGTCCAGAGACATAGCCATTACGCTAGCTGCTGGTCCCTACATGAATGGATTTTTAGAACGAATGCTTAAGTGAATATCGGATAAGAAATCTTCTAGAAGTGTAAGGCATCCTCACGGCTAGTAAAATTATTTATCTTAATAACCTTAAAAGCAGCAGTCACGCTTATATTCTCGCATCCGTCCTTGATAAGGAATCCTGTACACAATAGGCGTCCAAAGTGGGCTTTACCGTGATCGCTGGGGGCGTGGGTCATCCAGACTACAAAGTAGCTGGCCGCGCCCTTGTCCCGCCCTTGCCCCGCCCAGCCCGTTGAGGCCACGCCCCCAGCATGCCGACTACCTTATAGGCGAGTGACGTCAGGCCGTTTGTTGTCATTGGCGGCTCCCAAGATGGCGTCCATCATGGAAGGGCCGCTGAGCAAATGGACTAACGTGATGAAGGGCTGGCAGTACCGTTGGTTCGTGCTGGACTATAATGCAGGGCTGCTCTCCTACTACACGGTGAGTCCTCGGAGGGCGAAGCTCCGAGCCTCTGGACGGGCACTTCGTGGTTGGAAGTGGGAGACTGGGGTGTGGTGTAGCCGGATCGAGGTTGCTAGGCTGGGGGTGCCGCCGTACGAGAGGGTCCCTTGTAGGGAGGGTTTTACGTCCCGGTAGCCAATGAGAGTGAAGGAAATGCGGGCACGGCCAATAAGCAGGCACTGGGTGTCTGATTTATGGGTTGGGGTGAGCCTTGGTTCTTTTCGGGGGTCCTGTATTAAGCGATGGTGGGAACGGGTGCCGCTGTGAGTGGGTAAGAGTGATCGTAGTCATGTTTTAAACAGTCCAGCCGTGCGGTCCATGGGGTTTCCGCACGTTGTCTTGGACTTTACACTGTCTCCCCTAGGCCCTGTAGACGGCCGCACCCCTTAGCTTCCAAGGATTGAAGACACTGCTTCAGGACAGTGACCAGACGAGCTTAGCCGGGTCCAAAAGTGACTTGCCCCCTGGTAACTGAAAGGGGTGCGAAATCCCTCCCATCTGTCCAGATTGAGTGTCCCGTTCAAGGGACGCACTCCTCTGATCAGCGGGAGACTAGCTTAACCGACGCCTTAACTTTTGAGAGGCGAGAATTTCCCACACGCGAGTCTCTTGTTAGAGAACGGATAGTGCGGTGTACCCTGGATGTTATGTTCTGGTGAGGGCTCTTAATAGGAGTCAGTGGGCGTGGGCAAGTGGATGACTTGCTACAACTCTTATGTGCTATTTTCTCCCCCCCCCACCATCGCATTAGAAATGGAAGGTGGGTGGTATCAGCATTCACTTCCAAAGATGCTTTCTCTGAATGGTGTATCGTTAGTAACAGGCAATGAGAGGGAGGAAACCACTTAAGGGAACGTCCTGAAGGCTTTAGAAAATAACAGAGGACAGAGGGGAAAAATACGATTATGGCAGAAGGGTTAATGTTGATGGCAGAATTAGGGACGCGAAAGAAAGGAAGGAAGGAAGGAAGGAAGGAAGGAAGGAAGGAAGGAAGGAAGAAAAGAAACGAAACAAAGAAAGGGACACTCATTTATTTATTTAAAAATATTATTGAGCTCCCGCTATGTTTATTTCCATGTCCGGGCAGCGATGAAAACATTCACTGTGCCTCTTTTCTGGAGCTTATATTTTAGTCTAGTGAGTCCCGTAATTCATTTTACTCTGAATAACTCTGCAAAGTAGGTATTCTTTATCCTCATTTAATATCCCCATTTATAGTTCAGGAATCTGAGGTTCCAGGCTTTTAAATAATTTTCTGAAGACCCCAAAGCTGGAAGGAATTGATAAAATCAGGATACTAAGCTCTTGACTTTCTGTCTTTTTCCACTAAAATTCACTTTTAAAGAAGGAGGAACATGCAAGCTGTGAGTCACTAAAGGCAAGCATGGAAGAGTAAAGTATTATTGTACTTTCTCCATACTTCAACAATCAACTGCCTTTCTCAACATGGATTTTAAAGGAAAAAAGATCAAACCTTAATGAGTTTGAAATACTTTATTAAAGATTAGAGGCACCGAACATTATATCCTGAAAACTCTGGAATTATGAAATCCTACAGCTCAGATAAATGAAGAGTAATATTGGTTTCAATAGATAGGATAATTAGAAAATTCCACAGAACCTATCCAACCTATTCAACAGAGTAAATTCAGTAAGTGGTACTATGGAATTAAGTTACTGTACAAATCCCAAACTGTGTGGATCTGAATCTGGGGTCATACTGGTGAGAACCCATACTAGGGTTCTTGTGAGCTCCTAGTTCAGACAGAATCTTCTTTTTCCTTCTTTTTCTTCTTTCATCCTTTTGTGCCTCCTCACCCTTTCAGTTTTTTAGTACTTGACAAATATCTCTTTGTCTTATTGACTGAATACAGATTTTTCATATACTTTTTTTTTTGACCTCTTAATACTTATCCTCCCTTTTAAGACTAGATTCTATAAAACATTATCCTTGCCAGAGGAAGGAGGTATCATATTTCTCACTAATGGATGCTTATAAGTTCCCCTCACCTCCCAGTTCTTCAGTGTTAAAGTATTTGCTTGTAGAAAAACAGCAGAGAAATATCATACCATTGTGAAAATAAACTGATACCCACTCCCAAATCAGAGGAGGAGGGAAAAAAGGATAGGTGTTTGCTTAAAGGGTAAATTGGAGACCCAGTTAATTCTGTACACTTGAATGTTATTTCAGTATCCAGGAAGAATATCTGAATTATTTGTATAATCTTTTTTAAGCAGGGCAGTAAACAACAAGTCACTTTAGTCCTTGTTTCCAGAATCACTTGGGCTCTAGTCTGGCTCCGTGGCTGTAGGTCTGTTATTGCAGGATGGCCCTGAACACTCTGAACTAAACTAGATTGGCCTTGCTTTAGAGTCAGCCTGTACTGTGAGTTGATAGTGTGTTAATCTCAGGGTTGGGTTAGGATGGCTGGGATTGCTGTGAACTGAATAGATTCACATAGACCTCATCTCATCCTGGATCTTCACCAAACTTGGTCTCTGGGAATGGAATGAGCTTTATACTTTGTTCTTTTCTTCTGTGTCAAAATATTTCTTTTGTTTTTCGTAATCTTTGAATCTCATAGTTTTTGTAAAAGAGCATACTATATTTCTATTCTTCCCACAATAGGGA